CCGGGGCATCGATCCCCCTCTTTCACGACCCCCCCAGCCCCGCGCCTCCCACGCCGTCCAGGCCTCCAGGCACGGGCAGGAAGTGTCGGAGGCAATACGCGAGTGCGCCAACCCTCCACCACCCCCGCCACTCCGCCACTCCGCCGTGGCCGCGGGCCGTGGATGTGAGGGCCTTCCAACGTCCACCTGGCCGCGCCAAGGGTGCCGCCGTGCCGCCGTGCCGCGTGGTGGGGGTGGAGCCGACGCCGTGCTCCGCACCGCTCCGCACCGCGCCGCGGACAGCACGGCAGGTGGCGGCTGGCCTGGCGGTGCCTGGTCAGTGCGCGGCGCGGCCAGCCAGGCTACGGCACCCTCTGCACGGTCCGCACTGTGTCCGCACCCCCTTGCATCGGGTGCCTCGGGTGCCGTGCGGCCCAAAAGCACCACCGCAGTGCTCCGCAGTGCACCGCACCCAGCCAACAGTCCCGGCAGACCCGACCTGGAGCCCCGGCTCGGACGAACTCACCCCTGGAGCCTCCAGCAGCACCGGCCGCCGCCCGGGGCCCACACTGTAGCGTCCGCGGCGTGATGCCGAGGCCGCGGCCACGCCGCCTCCCTGCAGCCCTCCCTGCAGCCCTCCCTGCAGCACGCCGGCAGGCACAGACGGGTGAGTCTCGCGGCCGCCGCCCCCTGTGTGCGAATACCCGCCCCACGGGGAAAGCCGTGTTTTCGGGAACCAAAACCCGATTAGCAGCCTTCAAGCAGGTGCAGTGGAAATTCGAGATTCGATCGACGGAGGCGTGGCGATGGCGCACCAGTGCCGGCGGGAACCGGCGCCCGCGGCTGCATCGCGGCATCGGCTCTGATTCTCTTCACCAAAGTCTCTGTCTCGGGCAGGAACCCGCGGGGCCGAGGGTTTGCCTAGCAGCGATTTGGGAACAAAACAAAGATGGCCGGGGCGTTTATTCCTTCCACACGAGGCACTGGCAATAGACCACCATCAGCAACAATGGCGTCCTCGTCTTTGTATGTTCGCGGACTCGTGGCCGCGTCCCCCGGCGTGCAATGAAAGACTGCTGCCGAAGTAGGCGGTTGCAACGCAGTGGGTTTGGGGCCGTTGCGACCGCTTTCACATGAAAAAAGAAAATAGAAAACGTTTTTCTCGGGATTTCTGCTTAGTTTTAAAAATTGGCATACATTCACGAATACAGGGTTTGTGGCCACCAGAGTCGTGCCGCTTAGAGCCGCGCCCGCCAGGGAGTGAAGAGGACACATGACTTGTCGAGGACCCCTTCCCGCTCCTGGGCCGCGTCTCGGGCCGCACGCACAACGCACAGTCGGCCTCCCGGTGTCGTTACCTCTAGCGGCGCACAGTGGGCCAGAAGCCGGTGGAGGCGGCCAAAACTCTAGACGCGTTTTGAGCTCCAGAGTCGCTAAATGGGACTCGAACCGAACGTGTGACCCCACCAATGGATTGCTCTCCGAACGAGGAATCCATTGGTGGGGTCACACGGTCGGTTCGAGTCCCATTTAGCGACTCTGGAGCTCAAAACGCGTCTAGAGTTTTGGCCGCCTCCACCGGCTTCTGGCCCACTGTGCGGCGGTTACGTCACAAAAGCGTTCAGTCTCCAAAAAGTTAGCCGAGACCGCGGACCGCCAACCCTGCGGTATTCTAACCGGCCCAGACAAAAACCCGCAACCCCACTGCAATTTTTGCCGTGTCCGTGATTTTGTCGCTCTCTCTCCCTCGCGCACTCGTGGGGCAGTCCGAAAGGGCGACAGAGCGACGCGGCGGCGCGGTCGCCGGGGAGGCCCTGCAGGATGCACAGGTAGCCTCGCGCGTTGAGTTTCCCATCCAGGCGCTCCCGTGGGATGACGCCGCCCACGCGAAGCGACGCGGCGAGGGGAGGGGAGGGGTGGGGGTGGGGTGCTTGATTGCTTGATGGGGGTGCGGCGAATGCAGGTGCCGCCACGCCGGCCGCCATGCGCGCGGACTCTGCAGACTGATTCCGAGAGTCCTCGCGCCGTCTCTCACGCACCTGGATACGGGACCCCTCATGAGTGGAAGAGAGACAGAGCGGCGAAAACGACTCGCGGAAACAGCCTGCTATGGACACTATCCTGCGTGTCCAGCCACTCAGTCGTCATGCAGTCCGGTGCGGTCTCTCTCTCTCTCTCTCTCTCTCTCTCTCTCTCTCTCTCTCTCTCTCTCTCTCTCTCTCTCTCTCTCTCTCTCTCTCTCTCTCTCTCTCTCTCTCTCTCTCGCTCTGCGGTCGCTCTGGCTCTGCAGCGCGTGGGGTGAACTGTTATTCCTGGCGAGGCCTCTGCAGGCCCACGAGCCATACTTTCGTCGGCTGATTCCGAGAGTCGTTTTCATCGCTGTGTCTCACTCGCACTCGCACTCATAGAGCGTCCGCTATAGGTGCGAGGGAGACAGAGCGACGAAGACGACTCTCGGAATCGGTCTGCAGGTGAGGCCCGATCGGGCTGTGAGAGAGACAGCAACACCGTGCAGGTTTGGGCCGTAAAATTTCAGCGGCCTGGTTAGCCGGCGTCGTGGGATCCGCGCGGTGCTGCGACGCGACGCCGTGTGCCCACAGTGTGCCCACAGTGTGCCCGCAGTGTGCCCGCCGCCCACGCCATCCCCGTCCCCGTCCAGTCCAGTCCGCCCGCACCGGGCAGCCCGGCCTCCACTCCGGGCCTTCGGGCTTGTCCCGCTCGCCGCTTGTCCAGCAGACTGTGAGAGTCGCCTTCGTCGCTCTGTCTCTCTCGCACTCATGGGGCGTCTCGCGTGGGTGCGAGAGAGACAGAGCGACGAAGGCGACTCTCGGAAACAGCCTGCAGGCTGGTCGATACGGCCAGCGACAGCGAACCCCGCCGCGCCGCGCCGCGCCGCCCGGGCCTCGGCCTGGCCGCAGCCCCGCGGACGACGCGTTGCTGCTGGAGGTGCTGGGGGGCACCGCCACACTGTGGGCCAGAAGACCGGTGGAGGCGGCCAAGCTCTGACGCGTTTTGAGCTCCAGAGTCGCTACTGGGACTGGAACCGAACGTGTGACCCCACCAATGGATTGCTCTCCGAACGAGGAATCCATTGGTGGGGTCACACGTTCGGTTCGAGTCCCATTTAGCGACTCTGGAGCTCAAAACGCGTCTAGAGTTTTGGCCGCCTCCACCGGTCTTCTGGCCCACTGTGCGCCACCGCCAAGCCAGCCAGCCTCATTCCCAACGCTGCGTTCGCCGCTCTCCCTCGCACGGACACGGGACGCCCCATGAGTGCGACAGAGACAGAGCGACGAAAACGACTCTCAGTCTGCTGGACAAGTCCGCAAGAGCTTTTGGAATGAACCTTGTGGCGAAGGGCCTCCGGGGCTCCGGGTACATGGGGTTGGCGGGCTGGCCTTCCGGCCACGGCTCAAGCTCGGCGCAAGCGGCATTCTGATACCGCCGTCTCCACCAGCAGTGCTATTCAGAAGAATCGTTTTCTAGTTTCGTCGCTCTGTCTCTGTCTCCGTAAGGGTGTGAGAGAGACCTAGCGACAAACCGAGACCCTGAATCGCTCGGCAGCACGGTCGCCGCGGCCGCGCAGTGTCCCGCCGCCGCCGCCCGAAACCGAAAACAGCCGCCTTCCTCGCCCCTGCGGACGCGGGCGGCGCTGGGGTCCACGTCAAAGGGTTTCCCGGGCGGCCTTGCTTCGCGTTGCTTCGCGTTGCTTCGCGTTGGCGCGGCGCGGCACTGCGCGGCCCTCGCCGTGCTGCATAAGGCATGCGGCGGCGGCCATGATGACGCCATGCTCGGCGTGGGCTGGCCACGGCCCAGGCCGGCCGGCCCAACTGGACGCGAGGGAGTGTCTTCACTATCGACCGCAGCACCTGCCCTGCCGCCCTGCCGCGCCCTGCGGCCCGCCAGAGCGGCCAGAGCCAAGGCCCGAAGGCCCGCCCGAAGGCCCGGCCGGCCCTCCTAGAGGCCGCCCACGCCAACGCGGACGCTACCCCGAGCTGCGGCCGGTCTCCAGCGACGCGTCTGGGAATCCACGGATTCCCAGCGCGAGGGCCTACGTCGGTCTTTCCCTCTCGCACCCGCCTTTCCCACGGTGTGTGTGAGAGGGAGGACCTCCCCACAGGGCGCCATGGCGACCGGTGGAGGCGGCCAAAACTCTAGACGCGTTTTGAGCTTCAGAGTCGCTGAACAGGACTCAGACTGAACGTGTGACTCAACCGTTGCTTCGGAGAGCAGTCCATTGGTGGGGCACACGTCCGATTCTAGTCCCATTCAGCGACTCGGTTCCGTTCGGACCGCAACGGCGAGGCGGCCGTCGGGTGGTTGCACGCGTTGCGCAATCGGCGACCCGCGCAGCTGCGGCTCTATTCACGGCAGTGCCTTCCTCACCCTGTCTCTCTCGCACCCCTACCGAACGCCCCATGAGTCGGGGCGAAGAAACCGACCGGGAACGCCTCTGCAGAGCGCTCGACTTGACGACAACCATCCGCCATCCCGCTCTCGCCCCATATCGACCTGTCCGCTCCGCTCCCATTATTGAGTCATGCTTTTCCCGGCTTAGCTGTTGCTGCTGTTGGCTGCTCATCATCAAGGCCACCATCGTCATCGTCGCTGAGCGGTGGGCGGTGCGCCACGCACCCTGCGGCTGTGTCGGCCACGGTTCCAAGGATGCAGGGTTCTCCGGTGCTTCGGCCCGGAAGAACAGGAGAACGGAAACGGCCGCGGGAACTGCAGAAAGGCCCCATTCTTTGGGAAATTATCGGGGCGGATGAGGTTGAGAAGAGAGCAGCAAAATAATGAGCGAATTCTGTCAAAATTTGGTTTATTTCAACGTTAAAAGGGTGATTCTTTTTGATAGAATGGGTCAGATGTGTCATTTCTGGCTTCCGTTTTTGTTCCCCTTCCGGTCTGGAGCTACTCAAGGGCACCCTATAGTAGTCCCAAGCTCTGCAACGCCGAGGCGCGTTCGCTCACCTTGTCGACGTGTCGTGTTTGCAGGCGTCCTGAGGCGCTGCACTGGGACACCTCCCTCACGGCCATGTTGTGCTCGGCGAGGCCCCAGGCGCCCCTCCCAGGCCTGCAGGGCCTCCAGGGACTGCAGAGCCCGCACTCGCCCGGGTACTGCGAGGAGGCGCCCGACTCAAAGGTAAGGAACCGGGGACAAAAGGACAGGGACAACGCAACGGCGACCGAAACCACCCTCGCACAGTGGACCAGAAGACCGGTCTAAGTCCCGGACGCGTTTTGAGCTCCAGAGTCGCTGAACAGGACTCGGACCAAACGTGTGACCCCACCAATGGATTCCTCGTTCGGAGAGCAATCCATTGGTGGGGTAACACGTTCGGTTCTAGTCCTATTTAGAGACTCTGGAGCTCAAAACGCGTCTAGAGTTTTGGCCGCCTCCACCGGCCTTCTGGCCCACTGTGCGTCGTGGACACGTGGAGGCCTGCACGGCCTGCACGGCGCGCAGATCGACCCTGGTTGATGGACGTGACCTTTGCGTTCCAGGGCGCCGACGACCTGACCAGCCTATCCTGGCTGCAGTCCATCAACATCCTGCCGCTGCCCACGCCGCCGTCGTCCCCCGCGGCCGAGGACCCCGCCGACAGGGACAAGGACAAGGAGGGGCAGCCCTCCGGGCCCGAGCGGCCTGACCCCATCAGTGAGTGCCTGTGGCCTGCCTGCAATCTCGAATGCAGCAGATTGATTCCGAGAGTCACTTCATCGCTCTGTCTCTCTCGCATTCATGGGACGCCCCCTGAGTGCGAGAGAGACAGAACGACGAAAAAGACGCTCGGAATCAGACTGCAGCTCAGCTGCAGCCTGGGGTCCATTCCTTACTGTTTATTTTCACTTGGCAGAGTCTATTCTTCCGTCCGTGACGCCGGAGAACCTGGAGCGGTACCGCGACGACTGCAGCCACAAGCCGCCCTTCTCGTACGCGGCGCTCATCTGCATGGCGCTCAAGTCGCACCGCACCAAGATGGCGCTGTCCGACATCTACAGCTGGATCAAGGACCACTTCATGTTCTACCGGAACGCCGACGCGTCCTGGCAGGTCAGTGGCGGGCTGGGGTCCCGCAGTGGGCTAGGAGACCGGCGCAGGCGGTCAAAACTCTAGACGCGTTTTGAGCTCCACAGTCGCTAAATGGGACTCGAACCAGACGTGTGACCCCACCAATGGATTCCTCTTTCGGAGAGCAATCCATAGGTGGGGTCACACGTTCGGTTCGAGTCCCACTTAGTGACTCTGGAACTCAAAACTCGTCCGGGATTCTGACCGCCTGCGCCGGTCTTCTGGCGCATGGTGGGTGAATCGAGCAGTTTGCAATGCCGATGCACTTGCGCTTCATTCACTGTACATTTTCCAACCTGCTTGAACCTTGCGAAGGAATTCCTTCTCAGTACAAACAAAACCATTTACTACAAGCTTCAAAAGCAGCAGCCGCAAAGTCATAGCAGTGTACATAACAAAGCCTGTTTCGCAGAACTCCATCCGTCACAACCTGTCTCTCAACAAGTGCTTCGTCAAAGTGCCCCGCTCCAAGGACGAGCCCGGCAAGGGCGGCTTCTGGCGGCTGGACACCCAGCGCCTGGCCGAGGGCCGGCGCGCGCGCAGGGGTCGCCGACGGGGCGGTCGCACTGCCGCAGCCAAGTGAGTACGCCAAGAAGCACCCCCTCCTTGCGCAGCATAACCTCCGGCCAGCCTGCAAAGACAAGCAGAAGCGGTCTGTTTCACCAGTACAAGGTAGCAGCGCCGAAGGCGCACGGAAAAAATACGAGTAGCTCTGCAGGGGTAAGGTAGGCCACCGTCTCCACAGCGGTGCGTGGCGGGGCGGGACGCTGGCCTACCTGTCAGGCGCTACAGGCGCAAGACTTTCAGTTGTGTCTCTCGAGACATCTGCACCGTTCCACTAAGCTTCCCGAGTGGCCAAAAAAATTGTGGCCACTAGTCGTTCCACCACAACTCGATTACAGTGCTTCGTCGCTGTGCCTCCCTTTGCACCCCTAAAGAACTAAGTGAAAGCGATGAAATCTCTTTCCGGTCGGAACCAACGGCTGTGGGATGGCAGGCGGGATGGATGATAAACCGAGACCTCTTCCTTGAACCAGGACCGCCGCCGCCGCCCCGGCCGTGGAGGCCGGGTTGCTGGAGTCCACGGCCACACCGCCCAGCTTGGACCTTCCGAGCTCAGTCTTCCTCCTGGAGCTGGAGGCCAGCCCCTGCTCCAGTTCCGGGTCCCTGGCGGGGGGCCTGGACATGATCGAACTCGACGGCGGCGACAGTCCCGGACACAGCCCCGTGGCGCTGCCGCTGTCCGCCACCCTGCCCGGACCGCCGCCATCGCCGCCCCCCACGGCCCCGCAGTACGAGGTGCTCGGCCGCCTGGAGCCCCTGGAGACGGACCCGCTGCTCCAGGGCCAGGACGACGACGACCTGTGCAGCCTGCTCATGCCGGGGGGCTGGGACATCGGCCAGCTAGACCAGCTCGACTTCCTGCTCAACTCTCTAGGGGACTAGGTCGACTAGGACCAGTCGCGTCATTTACGAGTCGAAATGCGTTTTCCTGGTGTTTATTACTATTGCTTGGGAGCTGAGAAATTGTAAGACGTCTTTGTTTAAGGCCCCTTATGCGAATACACCGGACCGTGCGGTCGTAGTATGGGTTGCCTGGAAGCGTGCTGCGTCTTGGCCCTCTCAATTGCAGCAAGGGACCGTTCGACTGTAGTTTGGGTTGACCAGAACAAAGGCTTACTCAACGTGCAGCAAGGGGCGTGTTTGTAGCGAGGCGAGGCGTTTCTCCTTCGTGTGAATTTAAAACGTCGGGAATCGAAAGATGATGGACGGTTTGAACAATGAATGCTTCCCGTTTCTATCAGTTTCGTCTTAATTTGTGGCTAAACTTATTGGATCTGTGCATGGAATAAGAAATCTTGAGAACTGAGAAACGCTTCCGTGAAGTCGAGATGCACGATAGATTCAAAGCCAGCTGAGTTTACTCCCTTTTAACCATTAATGTTTGACTTTGTAGGGTATTTTTCTGTTTCATAGCTATATTATTAATATTTCCTGCGTCAGGTTTTTGGCCAAGCAGTCCTTATCTCTCCGTCCATATGATTTAATAATTAAGAAGTAGAATTCAGGGTCATGTGATGTTTAACCAAACCATGTGCTCGGGCACCAGATTTTACATGAAAAACTAGAAAGAGACATTTAAGCGTTTTAGTTACACATTTATTGGTAACGTGCGCAAATCATCATACATAATATAAATGTATCATTCTGAAAAAGCATGTGGGATGGTTCTAGTCAGTATTATTATGTATTGGGTGCTGTGTCAAATAAAAGAATTTCAAAACTTGTTCATGTTTATCAATTGCCATTGATATTGATTGCTACAATACAAGATAGAAAACAATGTATCTGTCAACAATACCTCAACTACAAATTACAAATTTAATTTGTATCAAATCACAGAAGAAAGTCTATTATGTTGATTTAAAATAATAATGATAAAGAAAGGAACAACCAAATAATTGAAGGAACTTCAACTATCGGACAACAACAAATTTCTGCAGGTTGTACACTGGTGCTGTCTTGATTTTCTTAAGTTCCCCAAATGTCATTGCTAACTCCGATCAAATCTGAAGCCGTTTTTTCCAGGCCCTGCAAATCAAGTAACACGTACTTTACAAAAGAAATACATAACTAACATTAGCAGGGACAGTGATAAAAATAATAATCTTAAATTCATGCTTACAAGGTTTGTAGTGGGCTATTCAGATCCTTTCTTGTTCTTATTCTTTCTTCTGGACTTTGTTTTACCTTGATTATTCTTTTGCTCCTGTTGAATAAAAAGAGAAAATAAACTCAGGTGTTTAGTGCTGAAATATTTTTAAGACAACTATATGGGAAAAAGAAATTATTGAAGGTTCACAGTTATTTTGCTTGGGTTCGGTTTTGATTAATGGGTATACCTTCTCCATTTCAGCAGCCGACTCAGCCCAGTTCTTTAGGTATTCTTCCTCAGCAGCGGCAGTATCCATCATCTCTTGTAAATCATCCTCCCCATCATCTTCAGATATATCATTTTCTTCATCATCATCAACATCATCATTATCGTCATCATTTTTCTTGATCCGTTTTGATTTAGAGCCATGTTGAGACTTGGATCTCTTGTTGGATTCCTTGGGTTCCTGAAGACAATAAAACAAAATAAAAAATATGTTTGAAGCCAAAATGGGTTGTGGAAAAGGGAGAGGGTGGGAGAGGGGGGAAGAAAGGAAAACAAATGTACTCGAAGTCAACTTACAAATACAGTTTTGAAGAACTCACGATCTTCAGCAGTCTGTCGATTAACAACTTTAACATTACCAGACGAGTCAACAATGGTTGTGAAACCAGGAAGAGTACTGATCTCATCTTCGACTGGATGCACTGATTTCTTCGGTTTCACTGCAGGCAACTTCTTAAGAGGAACTGTCAAAAGAAACAAAAATAGTTAATCAGTGTGTTTTATACATATCAAATCATAAAATAAAAGAATGACAGCAGCACGTACCAAGTGAAGCATAAACTGGAACAGGCAATGTTTTAGCACCCTTGAGGTATGCTGTCTTAATATTCTTTAAGCCGCCAGGCAAATGTTTTCCCAAAAATGCCCATACGGCTTGGACATTGTCTGCTAGCTGCTCTGGACTGAATAGGGAATGACCAAGATTGATGCCTAATGAGGTCCCTGCACCAGTTAAAGTAAAAACTGCTTTCAGGCGTGCCATGTCCAACCGTTGTTGCAAGTCAGAACAAAATTGGAAATTTCTTCTTTTAGAATGGGAGTCATCATCCACTGTGACCTTCAGAGGTGTGACATGTCTGCAAAACAAAGAAAAGGGTGATCATAGAACAATCTTTTAAGATTTCGCCTACAAAAATTATTTGTGTCTTACTTGTTGCATTTCTTCAATGCTGGTCCGAGGAAGTGGGTGCAATGATCAGAAAGGCGAGCATCACAGGCAATTATATCATATGAATGGACAAGTCTCCGTTTCAATTCAAACTGATTGTTTTCAGCTCGCAATTGTGTGAAGGGAATAATCTGAAACAAAGACTTTAAAATGTTACAAATCTTAATTAAAATGATTGTTTAAACACCACATGTATTACTTGCCTGTTTGACTCCTTTTATTCCTGCATCACTGAGCTTTTCCTCATACTCCTCCATGTATTTGGCAAAAGTGACATCTCTGAAACGACCTCTCCTGATATCAGGTACAATGAGGAGTACATCAGGGTCTGTTGGGTAAATGGAGTGAGGAACTGGACTACTCAAAAAAAAAGAGACAACACATTAGAACCCCAACATTAATATAAAAGATACCGACAGATCAAAAATGAAACTCACATTCTGAAGTCCTTTTTGGGAGTTTCAGGCACTTTAAAAAGTGTTAACTGAAAGTAGACAGGCTGTCCTAAAGACTCAAATAGATCTTTCTTTCCTTGGCCTTCATCAGTTTTATTTATTAACTTCAATGCACTAGCACATACTCCCTGAAGCTGAAAACGATTTAAGGGTTGTTCAAATATAAGCGCTTATAAATTTGACAAACATATAATGCTAAAGGCTATAACTTACTAGTTCTGATTTCAATTCCACTGAAGAGTCTGCCACAAGCTTCGAGTGTGTTTTCTTCTTTAAGCGTAACTTTTTGGTACGGATAATTGAAGATACAGCGACAACATTCTGCTTCCGTTTCCTGCCCCTAGTTTTCTTTTGTACCAGTGACCCGGGTGTTTTCTTTGAAATTTTCAGGGATTTAACTGCAACATTTTCGGCACTCTTTTCCTTTATTCCTGGTGATTCAGCTACAGCTTTCCTTTTCTGTTTCCCCGCAAGGAGAACCTTTTCTTTAGGGCTCGTCATTGAAAGTTTGTCCTTCTGTTTATTGTTTTTCCTTACAGTGGCAACAGCGGACATTGGGACAACATCCACAGCAGGGGAGTTCTCATTCTTCATCTCTTCAGATTTAGGCACAACGTTCATCTTCTGTTTCTTACTAGTCTTCACAGACTTGACAACAGGAGATTTTGCAACAACATTTGCTTTCTTCAGTGATTTAGTCGCAACAGGGGAGTTGGCACCATTTGATTTAGGAACAGTCCCTTTCTTCGGTGATACGGAGGCAGCAACATTCTTCTTCTTGGAGCGCCGAGGCTTTGCCACAACAGGCGACTTTGACACACCAGTCGGTTTCTTCGGGGATTTAGAAACAAGTGAAGACTTTGCTTCATAGTTTTCTGAAGCTTTAGCTGGTTCAGCAGGCTTCTTCATCTTTAAAGACTTTGCGATGATTTTCTTTTCAGGAGTTGTGAGGGACTCTTCAGCTAATGCCAAGACAGCTCCCTTTTTCTTTCCCAGCCCATCTGAAAAATAGTAAAGAATCTAGTAAATAGAGCTGCACCGCTGCGTTCTTGGTTTAGAATTGAGCTTAACCATACAAGCAATGCTGTTGACACCACACCGCATACGAAACCAACCAAGAAAGACTATGCTTACCCTTTTCTCGTTTCTTTGACACTTTGTTTTTGGAGACTTTGCTCAGAGCACTCTTAACTTTCTTGGGTGGAACGGCCACTTTCATAATGACAAGTGTTTAAGATCGACAAATTTCTTGAAAACGAAAACCAAACCCAGATCAGAATAACCTCAACAACATGCGGTGCAATACGCGGTGGAGGAAGTGCGAACACACAGTGGCTGCCGATAGTCGTTTCCGCCCACTATTCGCAGTATTTGAATGGAAACTCGCAGCCGTAACGCCAGAGAGCAGCACTGTCGCGTAGTTGTGCTTTTGATGTGACCAACGTAACCATAGTATAGTTTCGTATTTGATAAGCGGCAATGCTCAAATAAGGCGCTAAGAGATAAGCATCGCAGTAGGATTAAAATTTAAATCATTATTTTATTCACTTAGGATCGGTTGAGTTTGTTTGGGTGACATGTCTAGTTCCTGAACTAACCACCATAGGTGGCGCGGCCGGAGCGGTAAACACGACAAATATGAAACAGACGGGAGCTAGTTTCGAACATTCTTTGGATTCTTTGCGGGTTTAGAACCATTTCCCGAGTATCGATCGAATAAAACGTCTTTGCAGAAGTACACACTCAAAGTAATCGTAAATCAGCTCAATTTTTTTTAATGAACATTTAAAATTAGATTTAGATTTTTCACTCCCACGACAAGTAAGGGGTTACTGGAAGCCTTCCCATGGTCCAATTCCAATTGACCATTCAAGCTGTATCCTTTGGTTAGCTGCAACAGAATAGCACAATTTTGAGGGAATGAACCGCTGGCCGCCGTCGCCGCGGTCGCCGCGAGGGGTGAATCACTTAGCGTTCTGGTGTACACACGAGTACAAGAGTAGAGTACACCTTGCTTTAATCATAAATTTCACAATTTTCAACGTTTTAAGGCTTTATTTAGCGTTTTTAACGGCACTCAACGTTGAATCGGTCGAACAACTAGAGAATTTCGCCCTTTTAAAACTTGTGAGTACACTGAGTACGGGCAAATTTGTACACATGAGTACACTAGTGATTCACCCCTCGGGTCGCCGCCCCACCGCAGCAAAGCAAGCTTTGCAGTGCAGGTACGCACCGTCCTCCGTCCCACAAGAAAGGGCCAGAGCCGCCAGGGCCAGAGCCGCCAAAGCCAGGAACACAATCGCCAGGGCATATCGAGGGAGAGGGACGCTTGGCAAAGATGAGCGCTCGCTCATGCTCGCGTGGACAGTCGAGGCGCTCTCGGCCGGAATTTCGACTTCCTCCGGCATCGCTGTCCGCTGCATGCTCTCCATGGCGGCGATCAGGAAATGCCCGAGTCCAGAGAGGTTTGCAGACCCTGCAGTGGAAGGGAGGAGTTGGAAGGGGTCGTCAAGCGTTGCCACCTGCACTGGTAAAACTGAAACGTGTTTGGGCTGGGCCCGCTGGGCGCGTCATTCAAGCGTACAACTACCAACAAACTACGCTGGAAGCTAGACCGGAAGTCAAGAGACGGAACTTTACCACCAGGCATCAAGAGAGGCGGTGGCCAGAAGACCGGTGGAGGCGGCCAAAATTCTAGACGCGGTTTGAGCTCCAGAGTCGCTAAACAGGACTCGAACCGACCAATGAATTCCTTGTTCGAATCCATTGGTGGGGTCACACGCTCGGTTCGAGTCCCATATAGCGACTCTGGAGCTCAAAACGCGTTCAGAATTTTGGCCGCCTCCACCGGTCTTCTGGCACACTGTGCGACGCTTGAAGCCAAGCGCAGCAGCAGCAACCACTACGCTTGAAGGGCGCGAAAGTGCGTTTCAGTTTTACCAGTGTGTCCACAAAACAATAAGCCGAAGGAATAACGCTCACTGCTCACCCTGATGATGACGACGAAGCCTTGACAAAGCCATTTCGAAACACACCGTGTGAGGTTGAAAGAGGAACGTGTCTGTCGCAGCGACCGCTACACTACACAGCGACAGCGCGTGAAAACAGTGCAGGGCCGCCAACACGCCAACGCGAAAGGGCGGACCTGGCGGACGCGACTGCAAATAGACTATTCTAGTCGTGGCTGAGTGAAGAACAAGAAGAATCACAAAAGACGCTATTTAGGGCATTCTAAGTGAATATATTTGATGAAATATGTTGCATTTACTAGAAAATATTTGAATTAACTTCTACCAAGCAAGGGGACTTAAGCATTTGAAGTAAAAGTGCAAAAAAGTACACTTTTGTGATTCTTCTTGTTCTTCACTCAGCCACGACTAGAATAGTCTATTAGAGTTTTAACAACTCGAGCCCGAGCCATGGGTGCCATTTAATGATATTTCGACAAACCATAGGGCCGTGTAATGTTCTAAGACGTTAAATTTGAATGTTATCCTTCCCGATAGGCACGGTGGAATGGCTTTTGCTTCTCGAACGCCCGCAGTAGTCACCCGACGCCGCAAGCCGAAGGCAAGGCCACGGTCTGTCTCCATCGCACTCGTGCATGGGGCGTTTCGAAGGGGTGCGAGAGAGAGAGAGAGAGAGAGAGAGCCTTCGGAATTGTGGGTGGCGCGGCATGGGGGGAAACGCCACTACACTCACAACAGCTGATTGATGAGATCCACATCCTCCAGGAGACTGACTCCGAGAGTCGTTTTCGTCGCTGTCTCTCTCGCACTCATGGGGCGTCCTGAGTGGGTGCGAGAGAGACTCTCCGAATCCACCCACTGGACGATAGATTGCCGCCGCCTTTTGCTCCGCCCTCTGCCGAAACAACAAGGTGACCCGCGAGCGAGCAGCGAGACAAGCAGTGATGCTGAGTACGGACACAAGTCGGCCGCACAGAGATGACTTCATTAAAATTGTTTCCGCCTCCGAAAAAGATCCCCCCCTCTAAAAACACCTACCGTGAGTTCCGGCGACGGTTAGGGGAAGGCGTTCCCCCACTCTAAAAGAAAAGCCTCCTGGCAGGCAACCTGCAAGTTGCAAGTCTGCACACACCTCAGTCCGACTGGTCGCCTATCTCCCGGTTCGCAGGCGCTCCACGCCCAGCACCGCCCTCGTCTCGTAGACCGCCCCAGGGCGTTGTACGTACACCCCCGCGGAAGGGCTGCTGGAACCCGGCCCTAGTAGTAACCCCCCTCCCCCTCCCCAATACTCTGTTCGGACGACCGACTACCGGTTAAGGTGGGCCTCAAATCCAACTTCTAACCCACTTGTGTATAACATAATAGCAAAGGTAAACCAAACGAAAAACTCAACAAAAAAATAAATAATATACTATTTTAGGCCCAAGGGCAGAATAGAAAAACCTAGCTTAGTAAGAATGTGTACACATGTGTTATATCTGTAAAACAAAAACCTTTTTAAAACTGAACTAACAGTCCGACAGGTTTCCTATCTCCCGTTTCACAGGCGTTCCGCCGAGCGTTCCGCGCCCGGCACTGCAGTCCGACTGGTTGCCTATCCGCTTCGGGGTCCCAGTGAGGCCCCCCACCGTGATTGGCCGCCACTGCCGGGGCCCACAGTGGGCCAGAAGACCAGTGGAGGCGGCCAAAACTCCAGACGCGCTTCGAGCTCCAGAGTCGCTAAGCTCGACTCGAACCGAACGTGTGACCCCACCAATGCATTGCTCTCCGAACGAGGAATCCATTGGTGGGGTCACACGTTCGGTTCGAGGCCTGTTCAGCGACTCTGGAGCTCAAAACGCGTCTAGAGTTTTGGCCGCCTCCACCGGTCTCTGGCCCACAGTGCGGGGCCCGGGGCCGTGACTGGCGGCTTGTTTTCGACTCTTGGAGTGCGGTAATGCCTGCGCAGTGCGCGGCCTGCCGTGCCTGTAGCCACGCGGAGCGGCTCGCGGAGCGGCGTGGCGGATCCGAGAAGCGGCGCGGCGGTTCCGAGAAGCGGCGCCGGTCTGCGCCTCGTACTGCGGAGCGGACTCATTCCGAGAGTCGCTTTCGTCGCTCTGTCTCTCTCGCACTCATTAGCCGTCTCGTATAGGGTGCGAGAGAGACAGAGCGACGAGAACGGCTCTCATCCTGCTGATCTCGCGGCCCGAAAACTCAGCGATCTTCGGCCAGTCGCCAAGCACGGCGATGTTGTCCGCCGTGCCGAGAGGTGCACACACTGGAGGGCTTTGTTTTGGACGGCGACACTTGCGCTCAGCGTGTGGAGGACGCGCCGGCCCACTGGCCCAGTGGGTCCCAGTGGGTCCAGCCTCCAGCCCGGCCACTGACTCATCCGCCCTCCTCAGATTTACGGAGCAATTTGGACCGCGCTATCGGACGCCGAGGTGGCGCGGTTTTTCTTTGTTTCTGCCAGTTCCGCGCGTCGCCCGGCGACTGGTCCAACGTATTCCAGTGTAGCGGAGACCTGCACGCGGGAGCCAGCGTGGACCAGTTTATAAATTCGCGAGGCAGCTGAAGCCGAGCCCAGCCAAGCCGGCCTGTAGTGCCAGGTCGTGCTTGGGGCGGCAGGGCCTGCCCACGGCAGCCCATGGCAGCCCATGGCCTGCCGCAGGGGCGTCGACCCGCCGAGCGCCACGCCATAGGCCGCCATAGGCCCGACCGGCCCAATCTCTCCTCTTGTCCTCCTCTATCAAATCCGCTTGATGAACTTGGCCGATATGTTCCCCGCTCGAAAACCCGTTCTTTCTCTTCTTTCCCCCTTTTGTTCTAACCATTTTGGCATATGAGTGGACCGGGCCGCCTTTCGGGGTTCGTCCGCCGCCGCACACAGGCAGCGCTTTGGCGAGGCCTCAGACGTGAGGTAAGGGTGTGCGCTGTGCCCGAGGGGGTATGCACTAGCGTAATAGTCGGTTCACTCTATCTGTAATAGCACGCGTAATAAGACGCGTAATAGTCGCGTAATAGCCAAAATTGTCACATTTTTATCAATTTTGGAGTGTTTTAGGCCGTTCTTTAGCTAAATTCCGATTAATTTGTGGCGCAATAGAGCGTAATAGCGTAATAGTCGGTACACAGGTTCAGAGAGTGCATACCCCCTCGGCTGTGCCGCCCCGGTCCAAGTCTATAGTCTCCGGTCTTTTGGCGAAATGCTAAGTGCTCGCCAAGTCTGTCATCGCCATGGGCACAAAGGCGCCGGGCTCTGCCGCAAATGATACCCCGGGCCGGCAACTGTGGCGTAGGTGCCGTCAGCAAACACACGACCAGCAGGCACCGCGCGACCCTCGAACCCACCGTGCCAGCCTGCTGACTCCGAACAGCGCACAGTGGATTTGCCAGAAGAACGGTGGAGGCGGCCAAAACTCTAGACGCGTTTTGAGCTCCAGAGTCGCTAAATGGGACTCGAACCGAGCGTGTGACCCCACCAATGGGTTCCTCGTTCGGAGAGCAATCCGTAGGTGGGGTCACTCGTTCGGTTCGAGTCCCATTTAGTGACTCTGGAGCGCAAAACGCGTCGGGGATTATGACCGCCTCCCCCGGTCTTCTGGCCCGCTGTGCACAGTTCGGAATCAGCCGGCTGCCTAGCGTGGTCGAGCAGGGTGCCTGGGCTGTGCGGAGATGAGATAATGTCTTCGAGGTACTGCTCGCAATCTGTTAAAGGAAAATCACCACACGTCTTCGACTACACCGACATTCGGCACGGCCGCGGTGCCGCGGTGTTCAGAGGGAGAGGGGGGGGGGGCGTGTGGAGGGAGACAGGGAAAGGGGAAGGGGGGGGGGCTGGACCAGCTGAACGCGGTACACGGCGTGGCGTGTCGCGGACCTTGAACTTGGCAGAGTGATCGCGCCTTGTCCAGGGTCTAGGCCTGGGCCGCCTGGGCCGTGGGCCAGGCCGCGGCGGGCCCTGGGGCATCGCGGGCAAGCCGGGGCCGCGGCGGGCCTTGGCGGGCCGAGGTGGACTCGACTCCACTCACACCGGCCCGGACAACCAGCCGGCTGGCCGTCCGGCCGTCCCACTGACAGATCGAAGATGGCGAATAGATGAGGCGGCATCACCTCATCCTGCCTTGGCCGTGGCTCGGCCGGGCAGTTTGGCCGAAACCGGGCGATGGGCTCCGAAAAAGCTTCGAGAAAGGAAGAAAAGTATTCGAAAGAAAAAACAACAAATCGACGCCGTGGCCGTAGTCTAAGCGAGAACACTAAGCGGGAAAACATTCCCACAATGCACTCAGTTCAGTGTCGACAGGGTTGCCAACCTCACCCTGACGGCTAGGCAACTTTTCGGCATGCCTCGATGCGGAGTAGGCAGGCTGATGTTGGCGACCCTTCGGATACGGGTGCATCGTGGGAACGATTGACTACTTATGAGGGTATTGAGAGAGACGCCACTAGACAGTACGCTGTTGCTAACCAGTTGCAGGACGCAGCCCCGCCATGGCCAGAGGATGGGCTTGCAGACTGATTCCGAGAGTCGTTTTCGTCGTTCGCTGTCTCCCTCACACTCATGAGGCGCCCCCTAAAGGTGCGAGAGAGACAGGGCGAAGAAAACGACTCTCGGAATCAGTCTGCAGGACGCTTCCCGCGGACGACCGGAGGATCGCACTTACGCCTGGCAACAGAGCCCCCCGTGGGGCCCAGGGGGTCCAGGGGGCACATAAAGGCCGTTGCCCATCTTGGTGCGGAGGAGCGCCCCCCCCCCCTCTCCACCCCACTCCATCCACGGCGAAAACAAAACGAAAACACGAGGCACGAGGCCCTCCTCTAATGTCGGCCATAATTGCGATTAAACTAATTACGCGTAATGAGGCCCACCGCGGCGACAGTGCGAGGGCGCACTGTGTGACAGCGACACCCGGAATAGACTGTAACTATATGATGGCATGGCTTCACAGTGGGCCAGAAGACCGTTGTGGCCAAGATTCTAAACGCGCTTTGAGCTCCGAAAGTTGTTGCTAAATGGGACTCAAACCGAACGTGTGACCCCGCCAACGGATTGCTCTCCGAACGAGGAATCCATTCGCGGGGTCACGCGCTTAGTTCGAGTCCTGTTTAACGACTCGCTGGAGTCCTAGGAGCCCTGTTCGGAACATACAGTACGTCGAGTACTGGACTCCTAGACCATACCTGTGCGTCGTGTACACACTGTCAGCTGTTGTCGAGGCCTTGGGCGGAGAAGCCAGCTCCGAGCGGCCTTGTGTTTGAGGAGGGACGGAGGGACGCGACGGTGTGGGTGGCTTCCGATTCGCGTTGCCAAGCGCTGGAGTTTTTGAAAGGGTGGCCAACCTGAGATGGCGCTACCCAAAATCGAGGCGCGCCGGACCCAGCCGGGCTAAACTGAGCCTCTCGTTGACGGAGCGCTAAGCTACAGCAGTATGGTCGCTTGAGAAATCGGGAGAGGGCGTGTGACAGTGTATCAGGAGCACGAAGTGTGCTGCGAGCAGAGCCAAGCAGACCAATATTTTTCCGCTCATCCGACGCCGCGTGCCGCGTTCGAGCAAGGAGCAGGATTGAGATTAGCCATCGTAGGAGCCCTGTTCGCCGAAAACGACAGCAACCACAACAGCGAAGCGTCCTGCGGAGCGATGCCGGCTATCGTTCCTCCGTCTCTCTCGCACTCGTGGGGCGTTCCGTGCAGGTGCGAGAGGGACAGGGCGTCAAAGCGCTGTGCGGAACAGTGTGCTGAACCGCCGCTGTCAGGCGGCCGGGGGGCCGGGGGGCCGAGGGGCGGTGGGGGCGGGGCAGGGGGCGTCGCCGGCCGGCGTGCTGGGCGTGCTCGGCCCGCGTATAAAAGGGGCTGCAGGCCGAAGCTGAGGCACACTCACCCCAAGCTCGTCCTCCGCACCGCAGCCAGGCCAGCCCAACCCAACCGACACCATGCTCCGCCAGATCGTCCTCCTCGCCCTGGTGGCCGCCGCCAGCGCCCACTTCTACAAGCCCAGCTGCCCCATGGTGCCCGGCAAATACCCCTTCGATCTGGACAAGGTGAGTCCGAGTCCGCACTCGAGTGCCTTTGCCTCTGAGAGTCGCCTGCATGCTGCGCTCGGCCCCAGGGAGAGCGCCTGACGAGCCAAGGCAGGCAACCCGCCGTGCTTCCATGCCCTGAACTCACAGTGTTGCCTACCTCAGGGCGCTCGCTCGTCCCCCTAGAGCCCCTGGGGGAGCGCCTGACGAGCCAAGGCAGGCAACCCGCCGTGCTTCCACGCCCTGAACTCACAGTGTTGCCTACCTCCGGGCGCTCGGCCCTCCCGGCACGCGGCCCCTGCTAACTCCGCCCGGCTTTCTGTTTACAGTTCCAGGGTGACTGGTACCTGGCTGCCGGCAACGACCTGTCTCTGGAGCTCAAGGGCAAGTGCGGCAAGGTGACCTTCCCCACCCTCATGAAGGAGAAGGAGGGCAAGGACGCCGTCCTGAGCAGCCGCTACACCGGCGTCAGCATCAAGGACAACACCCCCATCGCCTACGACTTCACCATGCAGCCCATCATCAGCGACAAGATCGCCAACCTGTACTCCGTGTTCCGCGCCGAGGGCTCCAACACCTACTCCGGTAAGTTGAAGACAGCAGTGTTCGGTTTGGACTTCCGAGGCATCTTGGCTGCCTGGCCCAGCTGACGGACCTCTACCTCTTCCAAGGTTTCGTGTCCATACGGATGCGGCTGGAATGTTGCGTCTAACGAATGTCTCTTGATGCTCACAGCCATCTACAAGACCTCCATCGTGGCCACCGACTACAACACCTACGCCCTGTACCTGGCCTGCAAGCCCGTCTTCAACGCCGAGACCAAGACCTACGGCCGCACCCTGTTCTCCGAGATCTGGACCCGCAAGGACGTGACCCTCAGCAAGGACACCATGGACACCCTCACCAACATCCTGTCCTCCTACGACATCGACGCCACCTCCATCAAGACCATCGAGCGCAACTGCTAAACGGGGAGGGGACTCTCTTCCTAAACAAAGAGAAAAACTGTCAACCAAAAATAGTGTAAAAGCAACCAAGTGTTAAATTAAAATTAATTTATTTTCGACCCTCTAAACATTCTCTTTTATTGTTTTAGTAACCAATTCACAAATGAATTGACTCCAACATTGAAAAGTTTACACACAAACATCATGCCTTTATTTACAACAATGATTAACAGTGATTTATATTTTTAAAAATTCATAAAAAAAATTTAGTGATGGAAAATACATGTTTAAGGGAAAGCAATGACAATCTCAAACTTAATTACACTACATCAAATGTTGTCTTTGCAAGACCACCTTATAAATCCCCATACTGTTTTTGAAATTTGATTAACTTATCATTCACTATTCCAAATTGAGCTCTGACGTTTGCCGCATTGCTCCTGGATCTCCTGCAGCAATATCTACCTCACTCCCATCTCGGCGAAGAGAAGTGGATGAACTAACAAATCCAACTTTTGCTCTTGCTTTGGCTTGTTTCTTCTCGTCTTCCCTTTGCATCTCAGAATTTCGGTGAAGGCGACGATACTCACGTCTTTCTTCTGCTCTGGAGAGGCGCGCAGTTTGATGGAAAAGGCTTGTGTCTAGAACTTCCCTTCGAGAACGGCCTTCCTGTATCGATTATGCAGACAAGTTTTTATACCATTGGAATGATGAAGGAAGAAATTCTAAATAGAAAGAGGAACACACCTGAACTGTCCGTTTCCAATTAAATGTTTGCTCCAATGACGTTGGCTGAAGTTGTTCTAGTGCTAGTTTCTCAATCTCATCATACCTTTGTACAAAAGTTTCATCCATGTCCTCTAGTTGCGAAGCAAGGGCCTCTGGCTTAGTGGGTTTCCTGCTAGGTATCTGTGAGAATAATATTTAAGTTTGGAATGTACAAGCTTAAATAAACAGTTGCAACTCATTCCATGTAAAATTTTAATTTTTTTATTAAAATATACCAACCGTTGAAACCTCTGGGAAAAGAGTTCTCACAGTCTCCCTGAATATTACTGATCCTTGGCGTAAAACCTGCCTAATTTTCAATTTTTTCAGATGGTTTGCTTCCTGAGCGGCTACAAATGGACCCCTCCGTCTCTCTAATTCAGACTTTTCAAGTTTCTTCTTATCCAGTAGCATTCGAACCATATGTGCGCGGCGAGTCTCTTGCCATCGCTGCTCCATAGCAGCAAGTTTTGCTATATGCTTGGGAGTTTCGTTCTGTTTCTGTTTCATACAAAAAGAGATGTGAAATAATCACTTAAAAAACATAAAAGATTGTTTTCCATCATCAGTATTGTAGCAAAGCAACTCTAAGGATGATTTAGGCTGTTTTACAGCCTTCCCACTTACCAGCTGTTCAATAAGTTTCCTACTACGCTGAAGCCAGAATTAGAAGATTGAAATTCATTACTGATAAGCAAGCTTATAGATAAAACAGCAAGCATTTTGGGTCTTGATTTTGGTGGTTTTATTTGTTTTGGTATGAGTTACCTGCATTTGATCTAACTCCAACTCTTCCAATCTCCTTTGCTCATCAATGGCATTTTTTTCCTTTTCTTGAATTTCCAATTCTTTTTTGTGTTCTAATTCCTTCCGTTCCCTCATTTCTTTTGCTTCGGCAGCGTTTTTTACACGCCATCTTGCTTCCCACTGGGCCATTGATTTCCGTCGATTTTCCTCTCTTTCAACAAGCTTTTCCATCTGTTCAATCTAAAACAAAATGAAAATATGCATAAACAGTCTCTTCAAATTAAAACTCTGAACAGTACAAAAACTGACAACGAAAAGAAACAACTCACATCAGAAGCAACATCACTTTCTTGATATTGTGAAGGTATGAAGAAAAGTCTATAACTTCCATTATAATCTGCCACACCCACCACATTATTTGGTAAATACTGAGTATGAGGTTCAATGCCTAGCAAAATAGAAACAAGCAGTTGAACACTTAAAAAACTAAATTTTAGAGCAAAACCTCTGCCTCATTAAATTGGTTACCTGTCAAAGTTTTTCCAGAAATACTTTGAGTTAGAATGTATGTATCACTGCGTGTTAAGAAGTCCCACACCTCGATAACCCCATCTTTTCTAACTAATTGTAACATACTGGGCCTCTGAAGAGACCATGAAGCATCAGAGTATGAAGTTTCTTCATTGTATCGCCAAAGGAGAGGAGTCATCTGTTCAAAATTAAATGCCACCAATAAATTGAAAATTTTGGTTAAGCAGAATTGAAGAGGAAATTTTACAAAAGTGCAAATTACCCCCAATTTTCCCGACCATATGGCAAATTTCTTGATCCCAACGCTTAGATACAAATCTTTTATAAAAGGATTCCGTTTCAAACAAAATACAGGGCTAGTGTGACACTCGCTTTTTAAAATACTGGAACACACTGGACAAATTGATAAAACATATTAATAATTGTTTTAAAATAATAAAGAAACTCTCAACATAAAGAAATTATTACTTCTGGCAAGGATGAAGTCCGTTAAATTATCTTCAGTTTCTTGCCACTCGATGCCTAAGACACATCCATTCACAGTTCCAACCATGATAGAATTCTTTTGCTCAGATACTTCAGGTGGAGGATAGACTGAAACAGAATTTTTAGTAGAAAATAAGCATGTGTTGGACCAGGGCTAAAATAAAACGATAAAAACAATTACCAGGTTTGAACCGGAATCTTGTTGTCATGCTTTCTCTTTGTGCTTGAGTCAACTTGGCTCCAAATTCCATGTCTTCTTCATACAGAACAGACTGTGTATAAAAAGCCATACACATTGCAAGAGAAAGTCTTTTCTCGTCTGCACTCTGGATTTCAAGCTGAAATTGTGCAAAACAAGGGTAATTCCCTGGCAATTTAATTTTGTATCATTATGACAACACCAAACTCTTGTTTGAGGAAGACTCTGAATACCCTGAAAACTGGTTTTAATTTTCTATTGAAATTTGAGAAGGGTGATTTTTCTGTTCTGAGTCCAGTTGGCCGTTTTGAGGGACGTCTCTTTCTAGTCACACCCGGGATGCTTATTGCATTTGGGTTCAAATTCCAAAATAAAATACTCCCATCTATTGATGAGGAGACAATCTGGAGAGATTGTTTTCCTTCTTCACATGCTATGAACTTTCCTGCAGCATTTATCTGTGAAATGACATAATAAAAGAAATATTGAACTTTACTTTGATTTCGATTGAGGAGGAGAAAAAAAAGAAGAGCTCACCTCCCAGGAAGGACTTATCCATATGAGTTGTGAAACCATGTCAATGTGAGAGCCATCAATTGCAGATACAGCTGTGGGTTGTAGATACTCTATTCTGCTTGTTGATTTCATCCAGTCCATTAAATTTGTCTAAAGAAATGTACACAAATAGTCAGTAGAAAAATATTTTAAACACATTCCAAGAAGTACTAAAAATGAAAATGAAATCAAACTTACCATGGCAGCATTGTACTTCACTTGGTCTGGTGTCATTTTAGTTTCCTGTTCAACTTTTTCTATTTTGCCAGTAAGATCATAAATTACAATCTGGCCATTGGCCAATCCTGCTATTAACACATTTCCATTTTGAGGGGCGAAAGCCAAAGATTGGACTTTCCGAGGACTATCAAGAATCAACTGAAAAATAATAAGCATTCATCATTGATAAAAAAATCTTCTAATTATTATTTGAGAGAGTGAGAGAGAATGAATAGAGACACAAATGTCTTAAACAACATAAAATTTAAAAAGCTACCTTGGGTCTAAAAGCATCTACAAAACTCCAAATGAGAATAGGGTGCATTGCATATACATTTCGAATGACTTCATCTGGGCCCTCTTCATCTGCAGAAACTTCTGATTTCATGTGGTCAACATACGCCAAAGCAACAATTCCTACATGTTAAGAGAAGGGAATAACTAAATGTCTTCACACAAACTTCTTTGCTCAAAAGAAACATTTTTGCCGTCAGTACCTGACCAGGTGGGATGAAATGCAGCACATGAAACAATCTTACCCTGACAGTGTTTCATGTCTGTAAAGGACATGAATTCATTGTACTGAATACTTTGGGATGTTTCAGTATCCTCCTCATAACGAACCAAGCGGCCATAATCATCTCGATGAAGATCCATAAGCTCATTGTAGTGCAAAGCATCACAAACTCTGTAAGGAAAGATTAATCAAATAAAGTAGCTATATTGTTCACAGATATTAATTAAAAGTCTCAGGAATAAAGGCAGAAAACACACTCATTGTGAACATCTTGTAAAAATTTGGCTAAAGCTTGTTCAACCACTTCATCCTGTATTGGTGTGTCTGTGTCCACAGAATATTCATATTGAGTCCACGAGTTGTCCGGAATGCCAGGCTCAGTTTGTGCTTCCACATTTATTTTCTCTAAGGATACCTAGTCCAGGGGAAGTATTGCGATAAAAGTAAAGAAAGAGGAAGCTAGGAGATTTTACCTTTACTCTTACCTGCACTCCTTTGTCAATTCGTAATCTTGTTATGTGTTCAGGTACATCGTCTCTGTGAGGAAATTGAAAGTAACCATCGGGAACATCATCCACATCTCTATTACTGAAGTTGCACGGTGCCCGAAGGTTTCCAATTGTTGTTTCAACTTGCACTTGCATCTGATAAAAATTTGTTTAAAGCTAAAAAATTAACAAACACTGAACTATTGAACAAAACATAAAGCTTTTCAGTCTGATTAAATAACTTACAAGAGGTCTACTCTGCTTCACAGTAAATAAATCTACATCCTCTTCACTTCCCAAAGAAGTCCAAGCTCTTGATGGTTTCTCAAGGGCATTCTGAAGCCATTTCTGTTGGTCCGCTTGCATTTGTTGCAAAATCTCCACAACAGCATTCTGGGCGGTTTCCGTCACACAAATATAAAACTGATTGTCTGCATCTGCTAATGCATCATAGCCTAGGAGAATAGTGGCTGATTTAAAGTCCTGAAAAAAAAATTCTCATAGAAAAAATAAAAATTTTAACATGATAAATACATAATTAATTTAAAGTATTTGCCTCTTACTGTGATGTCATCCCGAACAGGTAAAAAATCTGAGCTTTCGCTATGTAGATCCATGTTATCATCAATCAATGATTTATTGACAAAAACCCATGGAGATTCTGCTGTGACATCTTTGCCAACAACACACCCAAGGTGGTGTTGGGTTTCTGTGCCAAGAGTGACTCTCATAACTCCAGGAACAGATATTCCCATTCCGCTACCACCACCATGGTCACTCCCAGTAGGTGTTGTGGCCATTTCAGAAGGTGCTCGAGTGTGTTCTGAGCTCTTTCCCTCTATTCCTTTCTTCTTTTTCTCTGAAATGAAAAGTAACAAAAGACTTTTCCGATGGAGACAAAATTTTAAAATATACCTCATAAACAGGAGGATATACTTACTCTTGCCTTTTCCTTTCTTCTTCTTCTTGCCCTTTCCTTTACGTTTCCCTTTCTTCTTTTTTCCTTTCTTTTTCCCCTTTCCCTTTCCTTTCCCCTTTTTCTTCTTCTTTTTCCGTTTCTTAGCTTTAGCTAATTTTACAGAGGGCTTATCAACAATTTTAGTGGATGAAAAATGTTCATCATTAACTGCTTGAAATAATTCTTTTACTGAATCTTCTTTTACTGAAATAGGTTCAGGTTGATTCTCCGCAAGGCTGAAACAAAAGCAATGAATTAGTAGTTTTATGATACGTTTCAAGTTTGGAGGACTGGAGGCAGACTTGGCACCTGCGCTCAGGTACTTGTGTCAGGGATGGTCTTGGATTTCTAGGGGCAGTGGAAGCTGTTTCTGATTGAGTGGGCTGGGGCGGTACATCTTCTGGGGGAGCTGAAGGAACCTCCGGTTCGACCGAACCATGGACAACCCGTTCAGCTGAGGTTTGGGGATTGGGTGGGGAACCCAGGGGGCCTTCGGGGGCTTCATCGCCTGCTTGCCCAGCAGGATGTTCATGAGTGGAACTGACCTCTTCCAGGTCTTGGTTAGACAGGTTTGACATGGCTGAAAAACATGAAGTCAAGAAATGCCATGACTCCGAGGAGCTAAGGGAAAAATTTAGGCTCTTCTTTAAGAACAAAGAAACTCGCGTTTGATTGAGAAAACATAAGAGTGACATTTCAAATGAAACGAACCTGCTCGATGGGGTTAAGACAAACCAACAGGAATCATTACGATCCTCAGGCAGAACCAAGCGGACGTGACTTCTAACAGAATGCTTTGTTTTGCACCGGTTTCACAGTGTCAAAGCTGTCAGATGACGCCGTTGCCATGGAGACGTCAACATTGGAGATGTCCGGAGGAACGGAGAAGGGGAGGCGGCGGGCGGGGTGGCGCTCGCCCGCCGCCCAACGCCCAACGCCGCCGCCTGCAGGCCAGGCGGTAGGCAACGCCAAAGCCTTGGTGCTGCTGGTGCTGCCTACCCTCCCATTACCATTAAGGGCTAGACCACACATGTTCGTATGCCGTTTCGGGCCCGACACAAGCTCGCCTGGCGCCTTTGGCCTCGGCCCTCGGCATAGGCTCGGCAATAGACTTGGCTTGTCAACTTGAGAGGCTAGACCACAATAAGATCGCATGTTAGTTCGGGTCCGGTAAGTGCCGTGCTCGGCCTGCACAACATGACAGACCGTCCACCGTCCGTACAAAGAGCAGGCTGCTGCAAAACACCTTGCCTAGTGCGTGCCCTCCTTGCGGAGTTCACTCGGGGCGATAATCTACGGACTGCGTGCGGTGTGTGTGAGATCACAGCGGTGTTTCGGTCCAGGGTTGAAAATTGCACCGGAGAGGAGGACCGGAAAGCGAGTACAACAGCCATGCTTTCTCCGGTGTAGTGCGCAAGCGCAAGCCTTTGTGACAGTGTACGGCCAGTGGCACGCCGTCGACGCTGCATTAGGCAGTACACCCCACTACCCGTGCAATAACAGCCACGGAACAAAAGCAACACTCGCGGTGAGCACAGCGACTTTTCCACACGCAGCACGCGCGCACCAGGGCGCCGGGGGGTCGAAAGAAACAGAGCTTTTTTTTTTCAGTATTGCAGAAAAGTATAAAAATAAGGGAGTGAAGAAAGGAGAGAGAGAGGGTCGGGGAAAGGGGGGTTGGGCATGCCCGGCGCCCGGCCCTTGCCCGGCCCTTCCGTGCACTCCAGGACCGAGTAATTGCTGCTGTTTCCAGAGGAGCTGCAGCCTCCAGCAGCCTGTCAGGTGAGATAAGGGCGGGGCGGGGCGGGGCGGGGCGGGGCGGGGCGGGGCAGGCGAAATGAAGGGATGCACCGAGATGCGTCGTATATGCCACGTTTCCACGAATGCACCCCGGCTCCGCAGCCCATATTCCCGCTCGGCTTGGGATGCGAAATCCTCCGAGACAGAAAATCAAATTAAAATGGAACATTTTTGTTGTAGTGTGCCTTTGGCCGCCCCTGTCCTGTGTCACCGGTCTCGAGCCCCGCCGCGCCGTGGGGCCGTAGTGTCGTCGTGTCGCCGTGCCGCGGGGCGGGGCGGGGCGGGCGGGGCGGGGCGGGGCGGGGTGGGGCGGGGCCGCCGCGTCGTGGGGTCGGGTTGGTAACAATGGCGGGCGGCGAGGCTCTTGAGCACGGTCAGGCTCATCAGGCTGGAGTGTGGAACAGTGGAAGGGGCGGCCGCGAGCCGCCGCACAGTGGGCCAGAAGACCGGTGGAGGCGGCCAAAACTCTAGACGCGTTCTAAGCTCCAGAGTCGCTAAATGGGACTCGAACCGAACGTGTGACCCCACCAATGGATTGCTCGTTCGGAGAGCAATCCAACAATCCAATTTTGAAAAAAAAAATTAATTTTTAACATGATGCATTGAAAATGACAGACATTACATGCCGTCTGCCAGCACTGGCCAGCCAACGAGTGCAGTTAAGCCAGCGTGTAAAACCAGCCTGGCATAAGCGGGGAGGTCGCGAGCCGGAAAATGTTGAGGACCTCCGCCCTAGGCCCTGGGCCGGACCTCGACCCCTCGCCTCGCCTCGCCTCGCCTCGCCTCGCCACGGCGCCGCCGATGAACCCTTTCCCTTTCACTCGTGTTCCTTCCACCGCCACGCAGTGCACGCAGCTACCGTGGGCCGCAGGGCCGCAGGGCCGCAGGGCCGCGGGGCGCAGGACCCCCTCCCCTCCCCTCCCAGCACCAGCCCCTCACGGTGCAGCCCCACACAGCCCTACAGCCGGACAAGTGCGCGCATACGGCGGCCAGCAGCCCTGTCGTCGCTCTGTCTCTCTCGCACCTATACGGGACGCCCCACGAGTGCGAGAGAGACGGGCGACGAAAACGACTCTCGGAATCAGGCTGCAGCGGGCCCCAGGGCGGGGCAGGCGGGCCCGGGCCCCTAGGCACGCCACGGCCGGCACACCCCAGTGCAGCTCAGCAATTACTTTCACCCCCGCCCCACTCCTATTACTGCTGGGGGACCGACTTGCAGTGCGGGCCGCTGGGATGGCGACGCGCGACGCGGCGACGCGGCAGTCTGTGAGCCAAATAATGGTGTCCCGCACCTGTCACACACTCCACACAAACCTACCCCCCTCCCCCGGCACACACACACTCGCACACACACACAGTGCCCGGACCTACCCAAATACACTCCCCCTCCCCTGCGCCCCTCCACGCACACACACTCGAGCACTCTCACGCACACCTGCACGCCGCGCTGCGGCGGCGGTGGGACGTTTTAATACGCCTCGGCCATTTGGCGATTTGGCGAAGGGCCCGCGCGGCGCCCTGCCGCCCTCCACTCGTGCGTCGCGATGCTCGAGACGAAAAACGATGACGGCAATTTGGGGCGCAAGGGCGGCGAGTGCACGGGACCAGCGGGGACCGGGCTACTTGCCCCGCTCTCTCCCCCCCCCCCCCCTTTCCCTCCCTCCCTCTCTCCCTCCATCGCACACAAGCGCACTTTTGCATCCGTTCGCCGAACCATCGGCCGCCTCCCCCGCTTGGCGCAGCTCGCAGCTTGGCGCAGCTTGACGCGGAGGTCAATGACGACGGGGTGTTTGTGAGCAGAAAAAGAGTCCCGCTCCCCTCTGTCCTGCAGGGCATGCCCTTCTCTCCAGTCCTTCAGTCCACCCCTGTCTTAAATCCTCCCCCATGCCACCCGCTGACGACGCGGCGACGCGGCGACGCGACGACCCGCTGCAGGCCGACTTGAGAGCAGTCGGGCGCGATGGCGGGGCGGGGCGGGGCGGGGCGGGGCGGGGCGGGGTGGGGTGGGGCGGGGACGGCCCCAACAGGAGGAGGCGCGCTACCCGATCCATTGCGAGCAGCGCGACTTTTGGAACAAAAAGGGTGAAGACGGGTCGAAAAGCCCGAACGGGGAGGGGGATGGGGCGGGCAGGGCGGGGTGGGGCGGGGCGGGTTGGGGCAGGGTGTATCGACTGAGGCGCTGACAATGAGGCGAGTCAAGTGCTCCACGCCTGCTGTCATGGCGTTGGCGGCGTTGGCGGCGTTGGCGGCGTTGGCGGCGTTGGCGACGGCGGCGTGTTGGCGTGCTCCGCGCCCTCCACGTCGTCAGGCATGATCCGGACAGGCGTCTCATCAGGGGCGTCCCCGCGGCTGCTGCGGCCATGAGGGGGAGGGGGCGGGGGCGTCGAGTGTGGCGGCGCACAGTGGGCCAGAAGACCGGTGAAGGCGGCCAAAACTCTAGACGCGTTTTGAGCCTAAACAGGACTCGAACCGAACGGCGTGACTCCACCAATGGATTCCCCGTTCAGAGAGCAATCCATTGGTGGGGTCACTCGTTCGGTGCGAGTCCCACTTAGCGACTGTGGAGCTGAAAACGCGTCTAGAGTTTTGGCCGCCTCCACCGGTCTTCTGGCCCACTGAGCGGCGGCCCCCGGCGACTTGGACGCACGCGGCCGGCCCATGACGGCCGCTGGACTGACCGACGGACACCTCGTCCCCGTGGCCGCGGGGGCGGGGGGTCGCCGCTAGCGGGGGGAGGCGCCGCGCACCGCCCTCGGCGAACCCTCGTCCGCGACGCGGAGGCCGCCATGGAGGGCGCCATGGAGGACGCCATGGAGCACGCGCAGAAGCAGAGAACGAAGCTGATGAGGCCGAGGATGACTGGCTGGTCCTTTGTACTGTGTAGTGTGTGGGCCCGTGGCGCCGTGGTGCTGTGGCGCGCGGGGGTGGTGGCGGGCACACAGCCACACAGCCACTCCAGCACGAGCCTCGAGTACTTGGGCTCGGGGGTGGCGGCGTGCTTGCGGTACGGCCGGCACTGTGCCGGCACGGGGTACGTCCCTCTACTCGTTTGTTTTGCTGACACCGCGACACGTCCGAGTCCCGTGCTGGAGGCTCCAGCGGCTCCAGCGGCTCCAGCACTGCCTAGCCTTATTTGTCCTTTCCCGGCCGTGCTTGCCGCCGCCCCGCCGCCCCGCCGCTACCGGAGCGAAGGGAAGGGGTCCGTTTTGTGTCGAGGGATTTTTTTTTCGTCGCACGTTCTGCCTGCCTTCCGGATGACGATGGTGAAAAAGAGGACTGGCTGCGGACAACCTTGCATTACAAAGATCGTCAATTTAATACATACCCGTAGCTGAAATTTGACTTGCGCGTCATCTGATAAATGAGACTCACTGCACTGCAGGCTGCAGGATTTTTTTTGTGTGTGTGGGGGGGGGGGCGTTGCATCCTAACGAACGGCCGTGCAAACATGCTGTGCTGCCACGCGGCTCCGAACAGAACAGCGTTTCGTCGCTCTGTCCCTCTCGCCACCCCTCGGGCTTCGGGCTATGTAGAGCTATGTAGGGCTATGTAGGGCTATGTAGGGCTATGTAGCCCACGAGAGAGACGAAGCAACGAGAAGCGTCCTGTTCGGAAGCACTGGTGTGCTGGGCCTGGCTGGGCCAGCAGCTGGGCCTCCCCCAGGCACTCGAACATGGCGATGAACAAAAGTCGCGCGCGTGGAGAGGAGGAGGAAGATGACGGCTGTCGTGGATGGGGGAGAGGGAGAGAGAGAGAGAGAGAGAGAGAGAGAGAGAGAGAGAGAGAGAGAGAGAGAGAGAGAGAGAGAGAGAGAATAAAGCACTCATTATTGGCACTCTTCGCGCGACCCCAATCACGGTGCTCGCGTCCTTGGCCGTGCTTCAGCAGACTGATTCCGATAGTCGTTTTCTTCGTCGCCCTGGCCCTTTCGCACCTGTGCGAGGCGCCCCATGAGTGCGAGAGGGACAGGGCGACGAGAACGACTTGGGACCACCGGGCCGCCGGCCGGACGGACGGATCGCGAACCAAGACACAAGTCGAGTGAAATGGGAGTTGGACACCAGCGGGGCTCTGAGAAGGAAGCGGCGCCGAGTCCTTGGTGGCCTGCAGGCCCTGC